TGAGAGTACTGTTCATCTTGGTGAATATTTCATGTGGGCCTGAGAATAGTATGCATGCTGTTATTGAACGAATGATGCTATAAATATGTTACCATTAAATCCAGTTGATTGATAGTGCTGTTGAGTTCAGCGATATCATTAGTGATTTACTGCAGAACTGATCTGCCAATTATTGATAGAGGTGAGTTGTTTTCCCCCAATTATAATTCTAGATTTGTGTATTTTGCTTTGTGGTTTTATAAGTTTTTGCATTATATATTTTGATGCTCTGTTTCATGGGCATAGATGTTATGGTTATGTCGTATACGATTGACTTCTTTATTATTATGAAATCTCTCTATCACTTGTAATTTTTAAAAATCTAAAACCCTATTTGTCTGAATGTTACATAGCTCTTCCAAATTTCTTTTGATTAGGGCTGGAATGGCCTGTATTTCTCCATACCTGTATATTTAATGTATCTGTGTCTTTCTGTTTAAAATCCTTTTTTTAAACACAGTTTTGGGTCTCGTTTTTTTATTTCACTCTGCCAGTCCCTGTCTTTTTTACTGGTGAATGTAGATAATGCACATATAAGTACCAGTTGGCATAATTGGATTCATATATACATGTATATTACTGTTTTCTATTTGTTGTTCTTGTCTGTTTTCTTTTTAACGTCTCTTTTTCTGCCCCTTTTCCTTTTAGCTGAGCATTCTATATGATTTTATTTTCTGTATTATATCTATATAGTTTGTCTACTTTTTCTTAGATCCTATTAGTGAATTCCCCAGAGTTTATGGTATAGCATTTGCAACTAATGGACCTTCAATTTCAAATAACACTATGGTGGCTTCGGGAATAGGGCTGGTATAGTAGTTCCAAAGTATAATAGATTGTTCTTCCTCCCATCACATATAACATTACTGTCATTCATTAGTTCAGCTGGGAGCTATAAACCACCAAATACATTATTGATATTAGTATTATTTTTTGAGACAAGAGTCTCGCTCTGTTGCCCAGGCTGAAGTACAATGGCATGATCTTGGCTCAGTGCAACCTTCGCCTCCTGAGTTCAAGCGTTTCTTCTGCCTTAGCCTCCCGAGTAGCTGGGGTTACAGATGTGCACCACCACACCCAGCTGATTTGATATCATTATTTTGGACAAACCTATATCTATTAGATCAGATAGCTATAAGAAGAGTAAAGAATTTTTTGTGCCTTCATTTAATTCTTTCCTAACACTGTGTGTGTGTGTGTGTGTGTGTGTGTGTGTGTGCGCGCGCACATACATACACACACACACGATCTGAATTTCTAACCCATATAATTTTTTTCTCTCTGATGAACTTTTTTTTTTTTTTTTTTTAAGACAGAGTTTCCCTCTTTTTGCCCAGCCTGGAGCGCAATGGCCAATCTCAGCTCACCGCAACCTCCATCTCCTGGGTTCAAGCTATTCTCCTGCCTCAGCCTCCCGAGTAGCTGGGATTACAGGCATGCGCCATTACACCTGGCTAATTTTGTCTTTTTAGTAGGGATGGGGTTTCTCCATGTTGGTCAGGCTAGTCTCAAACTCCTAACCAAGGAGGTGCACCCTCCTTGGTCCCCCAAAGTGCTGGGTTTACAAGCATGAGCCACCACACCTGGCTGAACGTTTTTTTGGCATTACTGGCAAGGCCAGTCACACATTCTTTCCATTTCATTTTCCCTATTTTTTTTTTTCTTCAGACCAGGTAATTTCAATTATTTTATCTTCATTTTAGCAATTTTTTTCACTGGTTGCTCACATCTGTTGAGTACCTTCAGTGATGTTTTTATTTAAGTTGTTGTATCTTGCAGCTGCAAAATTTCTATATGGCTGTTTTTAATATTTTTTGGTATTATTTTATCCCTACGTTGATTTTCCGGTTTTCTCTTAGTTCTTTGTTTATCATTGTCTTTACCAAGTTGAATATATATTAGACAGTTGCTTCACAGTTTTTTTTCAGTAAATACAATGTCTGAGGTTTTTCAGAGATGATTTATCTCAAATCGTTTCCATTAATGAACCGTATTTTCATATTTGTTTTATTTATCTTGGTTTTTTTTGTGTGTGTGGTATTGAAAGGGAGACATTTGAATGCTATAATTGGGTAACTCTGGAAATCAGATTCTTTCCCCTTCATTGTTTGGTATTCTTGCTTGAAGGCTGAAATTATTCATTTCTTTTTCTTTTTTTAAATAGAGACAGTCTTACTATGTTGCCCAGGCTGGTCTTGAACTCCTGGCCTCAGATGATCCTCCAGCCTCAGCCTCCCAAAGTTCTGGGATTACAGGCTTGAGTCACTGCACCTATTCATCTGTTTAGTAACATTTTCAAAGTATGTTTGCAGAGACTGTATTTCCTACTGGGTACAGACACTGAAGTCTTTGTTCTTTAGCTTATGTTCATCTAGTGTTCTGATAGATATTTCCTGAATGTTAGAAGCTAAAAATAATAAAGGAGATGAAACAAATCAAAACCTGACCTTTTCCACTCTTCGTGGATGGCTGTCTGCTGGGACATTCTTTGAGCACTTAGCCAGAGCATTTACAACTTTAGTTTTCTCTTTCTGTTTAGCTAAATATGGATGTTAGCTAGAGCTGAAAAAGAGGGTCCCCACCTATCGTTTATGAAAATATGTTGTTTCCTTTGCCTGCTTGGGGCTTTCTCTGTTACCCAGTATATCTGGGTGCTTTTGAATATGCTTATTTGTAAAGAAAAATTAGACTTTACTGTTTTCTCCTGGGACTTAGATGGTCTAATTAATATATGTTTTTCCCCCCCTTGAGACAATGTCACTCTTTCACTCGGACTGGAGTGCAGTGGCATGATCTTGGCAGCGTCAACCTCCTGGACTCAAGCAATCCCTCTACTTAAGCCTCCTGAGTAGCTGGAACTACAGGCATGTGCCACCATACCTAGCTAATTTTATTTTTTTTAGAGATGAGGTCTCCCTCTGTTTCCCAGGCTGGTCTTGAACTCCCTGCACTTAAGTAATCCTACCCCCTTGGCTTCCCAAAGTACTGGGATTACAGGTGTGAGTCACCACATCTGGCCTTCTAATGTATGTCTTAGTTATCTTGTGTTGTCCCAAGTGGTTGCATGCTCTTTGTGTATTTTGCAGCATTTTAAAGTAGTTCCTGCCTAGTTTGACTCTGATTGGATTGTAAATGAAACACAAAAGAGAGCCTTGTTTCAGACCTTTGGAGAGTCCCCATACTGATTCAAAAATACAAAGGCAGTAATTTGGAAATAAGATGTAATCTGTACTCTCTGTAGTGACCAGAGTTCTACATTGGGAACTCTGAGTGCTGTCAAGACTGGCAATGAGGTGGGCATGGATGGGGCCAAAGAAAAAACAATACAAGGCTTTTCTATCATTTTTCACTTTCCTGTTTATATTTATTTTTCTCTTTAATAGTATGGGATGTGAAATATTATAGTTTTAAATCCTCTATTTTTGTAAAACTGTCTACTTTCTTGAGAAGGTTTTTTTAAGCATTTTTAGACATTTATGCTTCTTTATTATTATTATTATTACTTTTTCTTCCGAGAAGGAAATAGGTTCTGTGAGACATTTATGACTTCTATAAAAATTGGTTATATAATGTTGCTATTAAATGTCTGCTGTTGAGATTTATGGAATATAATTGATACTCACGAAAGCTGACACTGAATTCTGTCTAAGAACATGTTCAGTCTGTCCTGTTCTTTTCCTTCTCCTTTGATATTACCCAATAAAAAGTTTAAAATTTTTCTATTTGGTTGGTGAAATCTCTTTTGTTAGTCTTTTGTCATACTGAACTACATTTGATCTACAGGAAACCAGTTGCCACCTTTCAAATATTCTCTCTGTGTAATCACATAGGATAGGCAAAATCTCCCAAGTAAGAAACTGAAAAAACCAAAACAACAATAATAAAATCATATGAAATATCATCTACCAGAGTTGCTCATTAGGGACCCAGTGTCTAGAGTGTTTCTTTGTGTCTGTCTTAGTCTATAAGACTGTTTTATTGTTACTTATAACAGGATACCAGAACTGGGGTAATCTGTAAGCAATGGTATTTATTTTTTGCAGTTCTGGAAGCTCAGAAGACCAAGTAAGGTCAAAGTGGGCATCTGGTGGGAACCTTCTTGCCTATGGGGACTCTGTAGAGTCCCTGGGTGGCACAGGGCATCACATGATGAGGAGGCTAAGTGTCTGCCTCAAGTATTTTTTTCTTCTCATAAGGACATTAGAACCTCACCTCTGATAACCTATTTATTCATTAAGCCATTAATTCATGAGTGGATTAACCCATCCATGTGTTTCAAACCCTCAAGACCCACTCACTTCTTAAACTACTACGTTTCATTACTACCACAATGGGGATTCAGTTTCAACATGCATTTTGGAGGGGAAAACATTCTAACCTAGCAGTAGCTGATCAGGTATGCTTCCTCTGCTGAGCATGTCATACAATTCCAGACTCTCAGAGGGAAGTTAGGAGTTAAGCAAATACCATAATTTTTACATAAACAGTTTAGGCACACTCTAACTCTGTTATTAGTTACACTCATGGAGCCCTCCCCTAAATACATTGTCTACACACCATGAAAGGTTCAACATCATGAACAAGCAGTTGTAAGGATATGCAGTCTCTAGTCTGTTAATTGTAACTTTCTTTTGCACAATAGTTGGTAGAACTTTGTCATGACAAGAACTAGAGACGCACTGTAGAAATAGACATTAGGAGTAATCCAGGCATTAAGACTCATTTGCATAATTCGCCAACAAGAGACATGTTCCTAGTCAACTGTTACTTTAGCAAACGCAATTCCAGCATCAGAATTCCAGCATCAGACAGTGAGTGTAGACAGAGAATAAGAATAGATTTACTATGTCATTAAATAAATGCTTAGAAACTACAGCATCATGTGAAGTTTATGAAGTGAGACTAGTTTCTCAGTACTGTGAGTTTCAACCTTCCTTTTCTGGACATATGGGATGTTTCAGGACTCAGTGGCCTTTGAGGATGTGGCTGTGAACTTCACCCATGAGGAGTGGGCTTTGCTGGGTCCATCACAGAAGAATCTCTACAGAGATGTGATGCAGGAAACCATTAGGAACCTGAACTGTATAGGTATGGATAATACCATGTCTTCATTTAGTCACTTAGAGACATTTGTTTTGTGGTCATCAGTGCTGTTTAGTTATTTGAAATACAGAAAAGAGATACAGCTCACCCTTGAACAACACAGGGTTAAGAGGTGCCAGCCCCCAACCAGTTGTATGCCCTTATATAACCTTTTGTCTGCCACAGCTTAACCTACTTTTGACTGGCAGCCTTACCAGTCACATAAACAATTGATGAGCACATATATGTCATATGTATTGCATACTGTATTCTCAGAATAAAGTAAGTTAAAGTAAATGTTAATAAAATCTTAAGGAAGAAAAAAACTGTATTTAGTCTCCATGAAAGTAGATCATCATGAAGGTTTTCATTCTTATTTTCACATTGAGTAGGCTAAGTAGGAAGAGAGGTTGGTCTTGCTGTCACAGGGGTAGCAGAGACTGAAGAACATTTATATATAAATGGACTTGTGCAGTTCAAACCTGTGTTGTTCAGGAGTCAACTATAGTTCAATGAATGAATTGTGCATGATTGAAGTATACATAAAATCTTAACAATTTTTGTATCATTTTATAATAATTTATAGTGATTTTTCTGGATCTCTCTTTTAGGAATGAAATGGGAAAACCAGAACACTGATGATCAGTACCAAAATCTCAGGAGAAATCTAAGGTAATTTGTACTTAAAAGAGACAGGTGATGTCCCTGTAATGTTTCTGAGAATGACAAGAACTTTTAAAAACAAGCAAAGATTATGAACAAGCTCAGCTTAAATTTATTTATTCCTAGAAACATTTCTCTAAAAATATATTATTAAATGGGACATAAATATATTAAATGTGACGTAGCTATTCAGTCTTTGCAAAATAATTCCCATGGAAACAATATTAAGATTTCCGATATGAGACTGGGTGTGGTGGCTCATGCCTGCAATCCCAGCACTTTATGAGGCTGAGACAGGAGGAACACTTGAGCCTGGGAGTTCAAGGCTGCAGTGATCTGTGATGGCACCAGTGTACTCTAGCCTAAGTGACAGAACAAGACCCTGTCTTAAAAAAAAGAATTTAAGAATCTCCTTGGGATTTCCCTCTCTGGGATCCCCTCCCACAACAGTGTGGGAGCTCAGAAAAAAAAAAAAAGTTAAAAAAAAAAAAGAATCTCCTTGTGCATATCACTGTCTTGAAAATAGCTGGGGTTGAATTATCCCGTGCAACATTCAGTCCGTTCACATTCAAGCAGGGCATGAAGCCTGTAGCTTGCATGATAATGTTAAAAATGTAAATCTAATACCTGTTGATAAATATAAAGTCAATAATAAACCTTTAGTAATGTACTTTTCGTTTTTTACAGATGTGATGTGGTAGAGAGATTTGGTAAAAGTAAAGATGGTAGTCAGTGTGGAGAAACCTTAAGCCAGATTCGAAATAGTATTGTAAACAAGAACACTCCTGCCAGAGTAGATGCATGCGAAAGCAGTATGAATGGAGAAGTCATAATGGGTCATTCATCCCTGAATTGCTACATCAGAGTTGACACTGGACACAAACACCGTGAGTGTCACAAATATGCAGAAAAGCCATATACACATAAGCAGTGTGAGAGAGGCTTAACTTATCACCACTCCTTTCGAACACGTGAAAGGCCTCATACTGGAGAGAAACTCTATGATTGTAAGGAATGTGGAAAAACCTTCAGTTCTCCTGGAAATCTTCGAAGACATATGGTAGTGCAAGGTGGAAATGGACCTTATAAATGTGAATTGTGTGGGAAAGCCTTTTTTTGGCCTAGTTTATTACGTATGCATGAAAGAACTCACACTGGAGAGAAACCGTATGAATGTAAGCAGTGTTCTAAAGCCTTTCCTGCTTATAGTTCCTATCTAAGACATGAAAAAATACATACTGGAGAGAAACCATATGAATGTAAGCAGTGTTCTAAAGCCTTCCCTGATTATAGTTCATATCTAAGACATGAAAGAATTCACACTGGAGAGAAACCCTACAAATGTAAACAGTGTGGGAAGGCCTTCAGTGTTTCCGGTTCCCTTCGAGTACATGAAAGAATTCACACTGGAGAGAAACCCTATACGTGTAAACAGTGTGGGAAAGCATTTTGTCATCTCGGAAGCTTTCAAAGACACATGATAATGCACAGTGGAGATGGACCTCATAAATGTAAGATATGTGGGAAAGGCTTTGATTTTCCTGGTTCAGTACGAATTCATGAAGGAACTCACACTCTAGAAAAACCCTATGAATGTAAGCAGTGTGGGAAATTGTTATCTCATCGCTCAAGCTTTCGAAGACACATGATGGCACACACTGGAGATGGCCCTCATAAATGCACAGTATGTGGGAAAGCCTTTGATTCGCCTAGTGTATTTCAAAGACATGAAAGGACTCACACTGGAGAGAAACCATATGAATGTAAGCAATGTGGAAAAGCCTTCCGCATTTCCAGTTCCCTTCGAAAACATGAAACAACACACACTGGAGACCCACCCTATAAATGTAAATGTGGAAAGGCTTTTAGTGATTTCTTTTCCTTTCAAAGTCATGAAACAACACACAGTGGAGAGGAGCCTTATGAATGTAAGGAATGTGGGAAAGCATTTAGTTCCTTTAAATACTTTCGTCACCATGAAAGGACTCACAGTGAAGAAAAATCTTATGAGTGTCCAACTTGTGGGAAAGCCTTCACTCGTTTCAGTTACTTAAAAACTCATGAAAGGACTCACACGGCAGAGAAGCCATATGAATGTAAGCAATGCAGGAAAGCATTCTTTTGGCCCTCCTTCCTTCTAAGACATGAAAGGATTCACACTGGAGAAAGACCCTATGAGTGTAAACACTGTGGTAAAGCCTTCAGTCGTTCCAGTTTCTGTAGAGAACATGAAAGAACTCACACTGGAGAGAAGCCCTATGAATGTAAGGAATGCGGGAAAGCCTTCAGTTCTCTCAGTTCCTTTAATAGACATAAAAGGACTCACTGGAAGGATATTCTATAAATATATGGAATGTTGGAAAGCATTCATTAGTTTTATCACATTTCAGATACTTGGAAGAAATAAATCTTATGAATGTAAACTTGGTAAAGCCTTAAGAAGTTTCCATTTCTTTCGAATAGTACTCCCTGATACATGCAAGAAGATTGATTCCAGTACACCCTGAGTATACCTAAATCCACAGATGCCAGCTCTTTTATAAAATGGAATATTTGCATGTACCTACCCACTTCCTCCTGTATACTCTATGTCATGTCTAGATTAATTAAAACATCTCATGCATTGTAAAAGCTGTGTACATAGTTGTATTGTTTAGGGAGTCACAATAAGAAAAAAAAATCGCTATATGTGTTCAGTACACACCAACTATTGCAAGCCTATCCTATATATCACATATAATGTTACAATTTCTGAAAGAATGTGTTAACACCAACCACAATTCTGGTTCTTCTCTCTTGATAACCCAAGTATTATGATGGTTATGGCAATGATGATTGCTGTATGGTGCCTAATGTGATGTGTAGAGGTGACTAGATGTGTGTCATCAGATAAACAGTGAGACCTCAGAATAACTTGAATCTTGACAGGACATCAAGACCTTCATCTATGTTGGAAGACCCAGGTTCTGATTAAAGATGTTGACTCTTTGCAGGAGATTAACTAATACTAATATTGGGATCTGTTCAGCTTGAGGGCTGAAGATCTTTGTGTTGAAGGCTATGTCTTCATAGTTGCAGATATTTAATTAGAAACATTGTTTTAGGAACTAGTTCTTTTTCTTTCTTTCTTTGTTTTTTAAAACATGGGGTTTCACCATGATGACCAGGCTGGTCTTGAACTCCTGACCTCAGGTGATCCACCCACCTCGGCCTCCCAAAGTGCTAGGGTTACAGGTGTGAGCCACCACGCCCATCCTAATTCTTTTTCTTTGAATCCTTAAAAAAACCTTACAGTGTTTATTTGCATATTTTTCCCTCATATGACACAGAAGCTTTTTTCAATCAAAGGATCTTAGTTGAGGTTAATAATCTTTAACACTTGCATCTTGCAGAGGCTATAGATGCCCCAAAATCTGCTGCAAATTTTTCATGTGTCCTAATCAATGGCACTGCCTCTTCTTAATCTTTTGCATCATCATCATTCATCATCACTTGTAGAGGATTTCAGTATGTCTTCAATTTCCTAATTAGTAAGGGTTTCTCTGTCCTCTTCTGTGTTCCTCAATGTTGTCTTTATTCCTGCTGTAGGAGATAGCCTTTTCCACCAACTTTCTTTGCAACATTTAAGATACTCCTGACTGCTGTATCAGTCTTGGAGAAACCCCTGAAATCACTTACTCCCTCACTCTAATGTCTTCCAGTATGCTTTGGGTATGCTGGGCTGTAGGCATCTATACCCTCTGCAGTATAAATAAATAAATACACTGTGGTATAGTCAGGGTTAGCATCAAGGCAGCATAAATTATATAAAAGTTGAAGTGGGGCTGGATGTGGTGGCTCACACCTGTAATCCGAACACTTTAGGAGGCTGAGGCAGACGGATCACTTGAGGTCAAGAGTTCAAGACCAGCTTGGTCAACATGGTGAAACCCTATCTCTACTAAAAATACAAAAATTAGCTGAGCCTGGTGTCATGCACATGTAGTCCCAGCTACTTGGGAGGCTGAGGCAGGAGAATCACTTGAACCCAGGAGGCAGAGGTTGCAGTGAGCCCAGATCATGCCACTGCAGTCCAGTTTGGGTGACAGAGTGAGACTCCATCTCAAAAAGAAAAAAAAGGTGAGGTAGGTGTAAATTGCCTTTATCTGCTTGATGATGCCTTGATTGAGTGGCTGTAGCCGTCACTGTTAGAAGGCATGAACATCACTTACACTTTTTCATCACCATAACAAAGAGATTAGAGATCAGGGCATTGTCAGTTATGTAGAGGACCTTGAGGGAGCCCTTTCTCTTTGTGTAATTCCTTCACATCAGGAATGATGCATTGGTAGAACCAAGGCTTTGTGCATTCTTGTGAGAACACAGGCAAGTTTTTCTTTTTTTCTTTCCTTTTTTTTTTGTTTTTTTGAGCCGGAGTCTTGCCCTGTCACTCAGGCTGGAGTGCAGTGGTGTGATCTCGGCTCACTGCAACCTCCACCTTATGGGTTCAAGTAATTCTGCTTCAGCCTCCCGAGTAGCTGGGATTACAGGCACCTGCCACCATGCACGGCTAATTTTTGTATTTTTAGTAAAGACGGGGTTTCACCATGTTAGCCACGCTGGTCTCGAACTCCTGACCTCGGGTGATTCACCTGCCTCAGCCTCCCAAAGTGCTGGGATTATAGGCATGAGCTACCGTTCGGGGCCAGTTTTGCTTTATTTCTAAATAACCCAGGGATTGTTTGCTCAGTGCTTGAAGCCTGGCTTGATCTTGTGACCTGCTACATTGCCACACAGCACCAGAGTAAAGTGATCTTTCCAGGCCCTGAACCCCAGAGCATTCTTGACACTCAAATGGATGAAGGCACAATTGGGCATCCTCTTCCAGAACATGCCTGATTCATCACAATGGAAGACTTGCTCTGGAAGGGAACTTTTCTTTCTCAAGTTTCATGAACTCTTCTAGGAACGCTGTTGTTTCCTTGGCGCATTTCCATCACCCAATGCCAGTTCTCTCATGTTCCTCAAGCTTTTTGTTTTGTTTTGTTTTATTGAGATTGGGTTGTACTCTGTCACCCAGGCTGGAGTGCAGCAACATAATCATGGCTCACTGCCTTCTGGGCTCAAGTGGTCCTTCCACCTCAGCCTCCCGAGTAGCTGGGTTTACAGGTATGTGCCACCATGCCTGGCTTTATTCTTTTTATTTTATTATTTTTGTAGATATCAGATCCCACTATGTTGCTTAGGCTGTTCTTGAACTGGGTTCAAGTGATCCTCCCACCTCAGCCTCCTAAAGTGCTGGGATTACAGGTGTGAGCTACTATGCTGGGTCCACTTCAAGTTCTTGAGGCTGTAGTTCTTTACATAGCTGGCAATGACATGGAATAATTGAGACCCTTGTACACTATTGGTGGGAATGCAGAATGGTACAACCACTGTTGAAAACTGTATGGCAATTTTAATTTCCTCTGCACAGCATTCATAAACATAAGTTGAGTCACTAAACAGTTTAGTTTATGACCAAATCTTCAAAAATGTAAGAAGGAATTAGGCAGCACAAATAAAAATAAAGTGGAAAATATCCTCCAAACTATAGAAAACTGAGAAAAAATAAGGCAAAATAAGGGATGATTGACCTGTAATTCTGTACCTGGCCTAGCGGTTCAACAATTAGAAAGAGATCATGGCCTGGCACGGTGGCTCATGCCTGTAATCCAAGCACTTTGGGAGGCCGAGGCAGATGGATCACCTGAGATCAGGAGTTCAAGGCCAGCCTGGCCAGCATGGTGAAACCTCATCTCTTCTAAAAATACAAAAATTAGCTGAGCCTGGTGGCATGAGCCTCTAGTACTAGCTACTTGGGAGGCTGAGGCAGGAGAATCACTTGAACCCAGGAGGTGGAGGTTGCAGTGAGCTGAGATCGTTCCACAGCACTCCAGCTTGGGCCACAGAGGAAGATTTGGTCTCAAAAAAGAAAGAGATCATCACATGCACATAAAAGAATTTTCTGATTTTAATAGTAGAATAAATGTTGAAAGAGAAGGAAATATGTGATATAACATGGGAATTTCTGAGTGGGGAGAATGAGGTTGTCTCCACACTGTCATGGAATGGATGTGAAGTAAATGTTCCATTAAGGAAGGACAGTAAATTCTGATTTAATACAACATACCTTTGCAATATAGGATGATTTATTTTTCATTGTAGTTCTGAGATTTTGTGGTGACTACTTGAGTGTTTATCATGTAAATGATAACTCATCACAATCAGGACCAGTTCTCCAGTGATCTATGGAGAAATTACAGTGATGTACAAACATACTTATTCTTTATAACTCCATTATATTTTTCCCTTTTAGGGGTATTTTGTTACATGTGTAACAATTTTTAGGATTCCACATCCATAAATAGATTTTTATAATTATTACATTGCCATTGGTACTTGTTTGGTTAGCCCACTTTTTATGCAAATATAATACACATTTATTTGCAAATATAATACACATGTGTTATATTTTTATGTGTTGTGGGCCCAATAATCCATCAGTTCTTCATTATTTTACAGTTGCCTTTTAAATCCATAAGGATATGAAAGGTAAAGAAATACATGTTCAGTTTGTCTCTTATATAATGATCTTTAATGTTGGTCTCTGTTTTTTTCCTATGGATTTTGACATCATTTGCTGTCAGAGTAGAACTTTTGGGGCTGGGCACAGTGGCTCACGCCTGTAATCCCAGCACTTCAGGAGGCAAGGTGGGCAGATCACTTGAGCCCAGGAGTTGGAGACCAGCCTGGGCAATATAGTGACAGCTCATCTCTACAAAAAATCAAAAAAAGTTTGCTGGGCCTGGTGGTATGTGCCTGTAGTTCCAGTTACTAGGGAGGCTGAGGTGGGAGGATCGCTCAAGCTGGGGAGGTAGAGATTGTAGTGGGCCAAGATCAAACCACCTCACCCCAGCCTGGGCAACATAGTAACACCCTGTCTCAAAAAGAATAATAAAAATAAATTTTAAAAACAACTTCCTTTGATCTTTTTTGTAGGGCTTGTAAGGTAAGAACAAATTCTCTCTCTCTCTCTCTCTGTGTGTGTGTGTGTGTGGTGTATACACATATATGTGTGTGTGTGTGTGTGTGTGTGTGTGTGTGTGTGCATACATATATACACAATGGGGAAAATCTGTTTTGTCTTCTGTATTGAACATTGAACATGTGCTTTGCTAGATATAGGATTCTTGGTTAAGGTATGTTTATAGCAGAGCATGGTAAGTGTGGGAGAGGCTTCCCATTGAAAGGAGGAATGGAACCTAACAAAAAGATTCCATTTGGTAAAAAATAAAATGGGTAGAAAATAAAAAAATAAAGGGTAAAAACCAAATATATTTTACCCTAGTCATTTATCATTACAGTAGTCAATTAGCATCACTAAACGATGATAAATACGAAGAATGGGATGGAAGAAGGAAATAATGTGGTTGGAGATGATAGCATTGTCTGCTCAGGAAACTGAGGACAAAACAACTGGAAATCTATTAAAACTGGTGAAGGAGCGAATTTGCTGATTATGGAGTAAGCATATCCTGTATCCATGATAATATACCATTTACTTAAAAATATATTTCTTGCAAATATATATAAATCTGTGAGGATGGCACTAATGCCATGTGCAGCATCTATTTGTGGACAAGTATGTGTGTTTTCTGATGATACTTAGGTCATCTCATCAGAAAACACTCATACTTGTCCACAAATAGATGCTGCACATGGCATTAGTGCCATCCTCACAGATTTATATATATTTGCAAGAAATATATGTGTATATATATATATATATATATATACACACACACACATACACACACACACACACACACACATAAACACAACTTTGGTGAAGTCTCCTCATCCCAATGTTCACTGGAGAGAAAACCTAAGATGTAGTAATTTGGGAAAATCCAATCCAAATTAACTCGTATAGTGCTCCAGAAAATTCACATCATCAAAGAAATGTTATATAGTTTATAACTGTTGGCCAGGCGTGGTGACACACATCTGTAATTCCAGCACTTTGGGAGGCTGAGATGGGAGGATCGCTTGAGGCTAGGAGTTCAAGACTAGCCTGGGCAACATAGTGAAACCTGTTTCTTTCTTTTTTTTTTTTTTTTTTTGAAACAGAGTCTCACTCTGTAGCTTAGGCTGGAGTGCAGTGGCGCGATCTTGGCTCACCACAACCTCCACCTCCTGGGTTCAAGTGATTCTCCTGCCTCAGTCTCCTGAGTAGCTGGGATTACAGGAGTGCACCACCATGCCCGGCTAGTTTTTGTACTTTTTAGTAGAGACAGGGTTTCACTAGGTTGACCAGGCTGGTCTCGAGCTCCTGACCTTGTGGTCCACCCGCCTCCACCTCCCAAAGACCTGGAATTAGTGGTGTGAGCTACCGCGCCTAGCCTGACCCCATCTCTTTTTAAAAAAATAACTGTTGTCTTTATCAGTGGCTCTGGACTACGGCTTCCCACTTCTTACATTCAGGAACAAAAAACAAAGGTGAAATTATTTTGTAAATTTTCTTTACACAAAAGTTTATTGTAGGGCACGTTGGGAGCCAGATGTAAGGCTGAGTGCCCCACAGGGTCGTGGGGTGAGCCTTATGCTGTGCTGAGGTGCAGGCTCCGAGAAATAAAGAGACAGGACACAGAAGTACAAAGAAAATGCAGCTGGGCTCGGGGGGGCCACGACACCTATGAGCGGAGTCAGGCGAGGCAGGCGAGGTGAGGCGACACGAGGCTAGGCTGGTGAGCGAGGCTGGCAAGGCCAGGCTGTCGAGGGTGACAAGCTCCCAATGTCCAGAAGCATGAGTACTTATTGTGTATAGGTTAGGGGGCAGGGCAGTGAGTGAAATCATCTTTAAGGATAGTGATAGGGTCGTAAGCAATAAAACATAGGGTCCACCCCCATTAGGTCGCCTAGGCCAGGAGGTGGACAGCGCACAGCAAGGGACCGGTTCCCACGAAGGCAAGGGCCATGTACAGTAAGGGGTCCTCCCCTATTAGGTCACCGAGGCTTGAAGGTGGGCCATGCACAGTGAAGAGGGTGCAGTGTGGAATACTTCCATCTATGGGAAAACTAAGAAGATTTATAGGAGGATGCTTTAAGTCACGTAGCAGTGACAGAGCTGTCAAGGTTACCGCCACCTTCTGGCAGCTTCCAATGGATTCTATGGGAAGATGCTTTTCAAGCAGCACAGTAGCAAGAGCTGATGAAGTTCACAGTCACCAAGGTGGATTGCCATTCTGAGGGCAGCCTTCCACAAGAACTGGAGCAAGGTCCTACAACTCCTTTATCAGGAGGAGTGGCTCTTGCCCCAAGCCTGCCATACAGCGGGTATCTTTACTGAACGCTGCCACCTGGGCCATGGATTCTTGTCCTGGTATAGCTTTTCCCTTAAATCATGCTCTGCACTGTATCTGCTCCAGGCATTCCTCCGATTATAAGCTGCTTATCCTTTAATTCATGCTCTGTACTGTGTCCACCCTAGGCATTCCTCTGATTATGAACTAAGATATAATTAATGGTATATATGTAATGAAATATTCTTTAGGTACTCATACTATCAACCATTATATGGTTATATATAGAGGATTATATAAAGGGATTCTTCAAGCCCTATTTCTATAAACTAATATATGATTATGCAAAGGATTATATAAAAGGAAATAGCTGAGTAGTAACACTATAAAGTGAGATATTCCTCAAGCCCTAACTGTGCAAGGGTTCTGCTTAGCTCTCATTCCTCGGTACTTATATGGGGGGTTACCCACATTTATAAGTTAAATAGGTAGTCTTTTTTTTTTTT